CACAAAATGAATCAAATAAATAAATAAAATTAATAAAATTATGATTACTTCGATGAAATATTTGATTGGCAGACATATCAAGTAAATATTTCACTAAATTGACGAAATACTTCATTGTTAGTACTACTTGATTTATTAAATTGATGAACCTTGTTTCATTTAAAATTTTGTTATGAAATATTTTATCAAAACAACGAAATATTTCACTGGTATATGCCAAGTAAATATTTCACTAAATTGACGAAATGCTTCATTGTTAGGACTACTTGATTTATCAAGTTGATGAACCTAGTTTCATTTAAAATAACGTTACTAAATATTTCATTGATTTAATCTTTTATCTATAATAAAAAACGAGTCTAATATTTTGCCGCTAGAGGGAATTCGGCAACTATTTTTTCTTATCCGCAAGTGACGAAATATCTTTTAGATTGGTATATAAGGAATCGTGTAAATGTGTTAGGTTATAGAATAATATGTTAAAAAAACTATTTTATTAAAAAAAATACTTATGCAGGACAAGAGTGCATAGAAAAGCTACGTAGGTAACAATTATTCAAAAAGCTATCATTTACATGCCGATTATCTCAGCTCAGGCGTTGTTTTTTTCTCACTTGTAATGGGTGTGCTAAAGTCTCTTCATTTGTCTCGTCGTACGTCTCAGTTTTACGAATCTCATCGCTCATGCACTCGAAAAATTGGCGTGTATTTCGTTGCACTAAAAATGGGTCTGCTAGATTCTTATTCTCCATCTGATCGACTAGACGAAATAGGTCCTCGTCGCTCATTTTTTCTGCAAGTATGCGACAAACAACGTAAGGCAGATTCAATTTGCAGTGCTCGGTCATGAATAGATCGGCTGCAAACAATTCCAACTGTCGCCTTATCAAAATATTGGCAATATGCCTTTTTACGATAAGACTCAGATAGTCATGATCCAACTGATCCAATGATGGTACAGACCAATTCTGAATATCTTTAATTATCGAATAAGCTTTACTGTAGTCCATTTGGCACATTTTATAGAGTGAAATTTTGTTGTTTATCATAATTTTATCTAACTTTGCAACTTCAAGCTCCCATCTGTTTATAAGCGTTGGCGATGGTCGATGGTTTATAAGTTCTGGTGGCATTGTCTGCGTCAACTTTTCTATTTCTTCGTGAAAATAATCAATACCTTCTTGTTTTATGAAAAGCCAAATTTTTCATGAAAATGTATCTGATTATTCATTTCGATGTATGTCCGATATTCATTTTTCTCTACGGCGTAAGAAATTAAGTTTTTTCCATCATTTCCTTTAACTCTCATCCAGCATTTGAGCATCCGCCATCTAGTTTCAAAATTCAGTACGTAGTTTTGGGACTGTAACAATTCGATTACTTGGATAATGTTGAACGTGAGAGGGTAATTTTTCATTTCAATCGTTTCGAATTTCATGTTAAACATTCTGTTCTCGTTTAAACTGAGCAGGTTCGCTTTGCGTTTCAACAGTGATCTTGTGAGCTCTACGTCAAAGGACGATACCGAAACCTGTAATGCAGTATCTCCGTGACAATTGCGCGCTTCGATGTCTGCTCCCGAGTTAATAATCATTTCAACAATTTCTTCAACTTGTTTTTTGTAATCACCGCAAATGTGATTAGTGTTGCATTCCCATGGATACAACCTCGCAAGAGCATGTAGAGGAGTCGATTGCTCATGGTCTCGTTGATTAGGGTTAGCTCCATGTCTCAATAAAATTTCTATTACATCCTTGCGCCTGTATTGGGTTGCCACGTGCAATGGTGAGCACGTGTATGTGTCGAGGTTAACATTCACGCCTTGACTTATGAACAGATGCACAGCAGGTATAATGCCAGCCATGCAGGCACCGTGAAAATACGTATAACCTGTATCATCACAGCGATTTTCCTGCAAATCTTGCAAAAAAAAATCTACAAGTTCTTGGATACGATAGCCTTTTATGTCGTTTTCCGATCTGATCACTTCTTGCTCGAGTAAATAATGAAGGGCAGATTTGCCGTCTTCGAATTTGAACTCGTGGATTTTTACTCCAACCTCTTTAAGAAATTTTACAACTCTCAATTCTCGGTCTTGTAATGCCAATGTTAAAAACTCTTCGACACATGGAAAAACCGTTCGATCTTTTATTATCTGTACGAGGATACAACGCACTCTATCGTTAGCATCGAAATGTTTTATTCCTCTATAATAAAATGTTTTGTATCGGATTTCCATATTTTCTATACTTTTCAAATCATTTTTTAATTTCTTCGCTATTTCGGTCGCTTCTTGAAAGAAATATTTCAAAACTGCACTTTCTTGAGTTGACATTTTGTAACAAAATTCACTTTGACTTTAGTAAATTTTGAATACTCGAAACACTATCGGATTGATCACTACTTAAAACTTTTCTGGCACTTGAAAAAGGCAGACGCGATGTAAGTTGTTGACAGCTTCACTCTAAAGCTCAGAATGAATATCTCGCATAGGTCCGAGGCTATTTAAAGGGGCCAGCACACACGCACACGTATACGGTCGACTGTCGGACGCGCTGCGCACAGCGTGCTAATGAAGTAGAAAGAGAGGGGGAAAAAGAGAGAATATTTTCGTCATCACGTGATCGGCCCCCATCCACTCCCAATATATACTCGACCAAATATTCGAAAGTTGTCTTTCGCTGTAACTTACATAGGGAATGTGAGCGTTGACACTATACGCTGTCGACGAACCTCGTTGTAGGGAATTTCATTTGTAAAATTGCACACAGCAGTATTAGCAGTAGTAGTTTGCTCGCGACAAGCTACGACTCATTGTAACGCGGCACAATTCGCGTAATGGATTTGCGAATTTAGCCACGCGCGCGCTTCCGAGTAAGTACGCGGGCAATATTGGGTGGAGAATTCCACGACGCGACGCCGAAGAAAATTCGCGAGTGAGAAATTTCAATTTTATCATTGAACAATTACTCTGAAATCAAAGCTTTATAATACTTGAATTGGCTGAGATTAGGAAGGGCTTTCGTGGATAAAATTTTCGCTAACGAATTCGATTATATAAGCGACGATCTCGGAATCACTACTCGCTCGCGAGCTTTTTATTCATTCAAAATCGATACGATTCGTATAATTCCGTAATCCTCGTGAGAAAAAAGTGTCGCGCAACCTTTGATACGCGCACAAGCTTGGTTCGAACGATCGTCGTGTGCCTTCTAAACTTCAGGCATTATATACGATGCGCGTGTGCTTCGTGCATGAATTTGTCGACTCGAACGAGTGTAGTTTCGCGTCGCACCGAAAATCCGCTGAAAATTCCTCAGATTCGCACTTCCTGCTCTGCTCTCTACATGTATCGGCAGCAGAATGAGCGACTGTGTTTGACAAATGTAGCCTGACAGATATCTGCTATACTGCTGTTGCTGTCGCGCGACCGGGCGGCATCGATTGCATTCGCGAAACTTTTACGACGTCTGCGCGTTTGGGCGTGCGATATATTATACTTGTACACAGCTCGCATATATATACGTGTGTGTGCATGTACAGGCGTGCACGCGCGTCAATAATAACGCCGAATAAATTCAGAAGTTAACCGTGAGCTCGCTCGAACAATTTCACACATTATACAGCGTTGCATATATATACTATCTATTTTATGTACCTACAACTGCAGCAGTCGAAGCTACGATACATGCTACACGCTGTGCTGCAGCTACGGTGCAGAATCGTGTGTACCGCGTGCTATATCGCGCGCCAGCGAGCTTTCGTTATACACACCTGGTTAAATTGCGCGTCGGGCATTTAATTTTATTGTGCTACGAGCTCTATGCAAGCTCGATGCCGCCCACGGCTCATATATATCCCGCAATATAGGTAAGGGCATTTATATACGCTCGGCTCAACCGTGTAAGATACTAGGCGAAATTTCGAATGGTAAATTGGAAGCGATTGTAATTTCGATTCCAAGCCATTTTCCAATAAACCCAGCGCGCGTATGTAAGAGCTGCGCCCCCCGACACCGCCGACACGTGTGCTTCATTAATTTTTTACCCTTTCATTCTTGTACACCCACGCGATACCCAGCGGTGTATAATGGAATTTCGAAAATTCACGAGCTGGAATTCCGAGCGAGTTTGTACGAGAGAAAAAAAACAACGAAAAAATTCATTACTAATTTGCGGCTAGCCCGATCATCGGTCCCCGTGTATGTGTGTAAGCGCAAATTGTGGCTTTCTTTCACTATAGAAGCTGCAGTTGTATTATTGTAACGAAATGGAGGTGTAGATGTGCAGTGCACGTATTGCACCCTGGGATTTCGTTTATGACTTTTTCGTTTTCCAACGGGTAATTGTATCCTATTTACTGCGAATCGCTTACACTCAAAGCGGATGAAATTTATTTTTTAGTAGAGAATCAAGGCCTCGTAACGGCTTTTCGTTTATTTATTTATTTAATTCGCTCGAGCAAATCTTGCAATTAATTCCTCGTGAAATTTTCAAATTGAATTTAGATGCTGCAGCCATCTACGTTGATGCTAAATATGCTATACAAAGCGTCCAAATTGAAATTGAAAAATCAGGTTAATCCGCGTATATGTGTACAGGATCCGCGCGCTCAACTTAGAGGCGGTCAGCCATTAGCGCGCGCGAGCGAACCTATATGTATAGGAGAACAAATGGGCAAAGTGTATATCGTGGCACAGGGAGGAGCGCGTTGAATCGTGACGGAGTAAAGAGCGCGAGAGAGAGAGAGAAAGCGAGGGCTAATCAATAAAGCCACTGTGCCTCTAAACACAGAGGAGCGAATTAAGCGACATATAATTGATCGTATACTGGGGCTGCTGCTGCTGCTGCACTGTTGCTGCGATTAATGGTGGCCTCCAGCTATGGGATAAAGCATATAATAATATAACGTAATACAGAAGGCGAACCATATTATAACCCGCGATGTACAGCAATATAATAATGATTTTCCTCTTTGTGTCTTTCTCTGTGTGTGTGCAGGCTAATCGCCGAGGCTACATAACGATCGGCTACCGGGGCAGCTTCGCGTTCGGCCGCGAGGGCCTGGCCGACGTCAAGTTTCGCAAGCTCTCTCGCATCCTCGTTTGCGGCCGGGTGATGCTCTGCCGCGACGTGTTCGGCGAGACGCTGAACGAGAGCCGCGACCCCGACCACGGCCAGTCGGATCGCTACACGTCGCGCTTCTTCCTCAAGCACAGCTCGATCGAGCAGGCCTTCGACATGCTGCAGGAGCAGGGCTTCAAGCTGGTGGCGAGCTGCGGCTCGGGCACAGCGGGCGGCAACGTGGCCGAGCTCAAGCCCGGTGTGGACTTGGAGGAGAATCGCTGGAATCATTACAACGAGTTCGTCTTCGTGCGTGAGTAAGAGAACGGAGAACAAAAATGACAAAAAAAAAGTATACGTGTGCGAGTACGATAACGTAAGGAATTCGCGACTTTTCCTGTGTAACTGCGCTCCGAGGCTTTACGACGAGTAGCTGTATAGCCGAGTCGAGCAACGAGCGACGCACTAATGCGGCACCAATAAAACGAGACGGGGTAAGAGAAAGAGCGCCGGCTGCTGTCGCTGTTGTTGTTTTCGAGCGATTTTTCGCTCAGTTTCATATAATGCGTGGCGCATGTACGGAGCGCCTGCCACAGTTTTTCAACATTTTTATTTCGAGTTATACTACCCTGTGCGTAAGCGCGCTCGCGCGCGGCAAAGCTCGCGATAATCATGATTCATTTTCTTTTAATGAAAAACGATATATTATATTCTATTATATTATATTAAAAAAAAAGAAGAAAAAAAGTTTATGTAATAACTACGCAGATGAAGATGATCGATTGCCGATGATTCTATAAAGCTATTGGCGTATACTCTCGCAGCTTCCTCCCCTCTCCCAGCTCGATTCTTTTTTATATGCGGGAGGATGCGGACTTACTTCAGGAAAGATTGAAAATACTTATTATATTATATTGATGGGTAAAACTTTGGGCTATGTAAATCGATTATGCAAGGAATTTTCATCGTCCTTATTTAAAACTCGGTCGCCTTATTGCACCGAGAGAAATATGTGGATAATTTTTCTCGGTCAATACTTTATGGTTATTCAACTCTATAACATTCCGTAAGTTGTTTTAATTTACAAGAAAAAACTAATTTAGTGTCGCCATCTGCGATGGTTTACGAACGAAAAAAAAAGATGAATTATTTATTGATGTTATTTACGTATTTTCATGAACGTTATTATTTTTCGATCAAGTATAAGACGCGCGGCATCATCAGCTGTTAAGAGTGTATAAGAAAATTTGTCTTCGAGATTTTGCTGACGAGACCTAGTTCGATGGTCGCTATACTCCATCTATCATATCGTACTAAGCCCTTGACAAATTTCCCTTTGGAATATAAGAGTAAAAAATGATCTTTCTGAATTGGCCAAAGTGATGTTCATAATGTAACTAAGAGATCGCTCATCGAACTAGACAAGTCCAAGATCTGACGTAGTAAGTAATTTTATACATTTTCACCAGTTGATACGGTACGAATTAAGAAAAAAAAATTACGAGAGAGATTATTTCAGGGCCCGAAAAAAAAGAACACCTGAAATCTGTAACTCGCCTTGCCAATCGAATTTAATAAGTAGTAATTTCAATGTGATCGCAAAAGTGTATCAAAAACAAAACAAAAAATTTATTCTTAATTGTTTAGTTTACTCTTTGTAAACGTGAAAATAACATTTAAGGCCAAGCGATTTGATTGGTTTTTCTGTGACTAATATTATAAAAAAATATAGAGGTGTGTGTCATTAAAAGCTTAAAGATGTGCATGTGTGTTATATAATGCAAAATGCCATTGGGAACAATAATGGATTTGGAATTAATCACTAAAAAAGACAAGCCAAAAACAAAAATATTGAAACAATCAAGCGGTATAAATCATAAAATATTATATTATATCCTATATAAAAAAGTATAGAATCAAAGTTATTGTTGTAACGCTTCAGAGATTTGCCGACACTGTTATTATTAGCAATAAAATCTATAGGAAAATTAAATGTTTGCCGAATGAGTAAAAAGTATATAAACTAGATCATTTAGCGTATTATGTGTGTGTCGATAAGCACCTCTGCAAAAAATATGTATGGATCATTGATATTATTATCGCTGAGAATAATAACTTCATGCATTGGATACGCATTACTGTACATGTCTTCATCCATAACGAAACACAAAAACGCGATACATGATAACGTTATAATAAATAATATATCTGTGAATGGAATGATAATTTGGAAACTTTCGATTATTTTGTACTTCTACGAGTATGTGTCTTCTGTGTGAGGATTATAGGGTCAGCGCGATGTATGAATTTTATCTCCTGTGAATCCCCATTAATTACAAAAATATATCGTGTGCGTAAACAATGTACACGCCGAATTGCCAACAGAACCACTGAAATTACGATCTATATAAAGTTTCAACGGAATTGATAACTTGTTTCGATTGCTTATTTTTGGTCTTCTCTCATAATTCTTGTGATAATACGTATTTTAAATTGTACAATACACACATTCGAATTTAAAATATGACAAATGAAGAAACTTATATTTACTTTAGCTCATCATGGGACCCGACGTATACAATCTCTTTTTAAAACCTCTTGATCTTGGGTAGAAGAGAAAGGACTAGAAAATGAAAAGAAATACAATTAAAAAAAAAAAAAAAAAGACTAGTACTATTACACACTGACAGGGAAGTCGGCTCTGGGCGATTATACGTTTTGACGTACAAAAAATAAGTACACATGTGGCTATTATAAATGTATATCTATGTATGCAAACGCCATTGGTACATAGCTCATACGCTCTCAGTTACGATGTGGGTGATATAGAAATAAAATAAAAAAAAATAAAAATAAATAAATTGTTGAAAAAGCTCACGAAAGACATTGTGTGTAATTATTCAATAATACCCTTCTTCACTCATTAAAATGTATTTATTTCAATTGATAATAATGATTTTTTACTTTTAATTGCTTCATATATTCGCAATTATTATTTTATCAATAAAGAGAGACTTAGTTCGAGTGAACGATCATTTGAACAAGTACCAATGCAAATTTAATCTTTATTTTTTTAACGCAGTTAAAAATGTCCATTAATCTGTCTTTTTATTCTTTTTTCACGGATAATTCCATGAATTTTATATACAATTTATAAATATTTTAAATGCGTGTCTATCGAGACTCGATTCGTCATCGATCTGCCATCGTGGGATTATACCCGCTCATGGATAAAAGCTGGCGTCGCTGCACCTACTTTATGCTCTATATGTTGCGCACAGTAGTCGGTTTGGGGCTCAAAGCTCCTTACTCGTCTCCGAGCTCTATAACTAAACTACAGCACCCGTATGTGCCCGTATACGTCTCTTGCGAGGCGACGGCGGCAGCTCCGACGTGAGTGTATAGGAAGGGGTTATATACATACGTATATACGATATGTGCCCTCTTGCATTTTGCAAAGCTTCGTCATCGTCGACGCGCCATAATGGCTCGTTCTACTTGTTCTCTTTTGTAGAGACAGAGAGAGCGAGCGGGGCAGGAGGAGAGAGAGAGAAAATCCAAATATTTGATGACTCGATTTTGACTTTTTCTTTTTACCCTCGTTGCTTAATTGCCTCTACACCCTCTCTCTCCCTCTCTCTCTCTCTCTCTGTAGGTACGCGACGTCGTGTACCCGCCCGACTTTGTATGCCTACGCGCGCATTCCGTGTTTGTTTTATACATGCACGCCCATGTGTGTGCGCGACGTCTGTACAAGACTGCAGCAAGCGCTGTACACGCGCTGCGCATACAGAGATACGCGCGACGGTGGCTGTGGCTGAGGCACATTGAAGCGAACGAGAGAGAAAGAGAAAGACAGATGAAAGCTCAAGCCTAAAGCCAATAATAAAATTTCAAAGCTCGCTTGCTCGGGCTCCCGTCGTCGTCTTTAAACTGCATTTATAAATATATGCCTTATACGAGCGCAGTGGGTACAATGATTAGACTCGAGGCGGTATTACGGAGGAGTACATCAAGCACTGGCAAAAGATTTGCCTCGAGCCCATCGACTATGTAATATGAAATATATCGAATGATTGACGTGCGCGCGAGTTCAAGGTACGCGATGATGAAGCGTTTTTCTTCGCATTCCCGCGCACGGAATATCATTACTCGCTATATACGTGGCAGGGTGAGGAATTTTTTTTCTATCTCTCTCTCTCTCTCTAGAGCGCGCGGAAATTCATGCCGATGGGCGCGTCTCGATCGAGGTAGAAAATCCCATAGCCTGTCGTATATTATATATAACCCGGTGATCAGTGCTTGCAGCGAAATTATATATAGAGAAATACAGAGAGAACATCTCGAAATTATCGGGAAAATCGCAAAAACGTTGCTATCGTGTATGAAATTTGCCAGGATTATTCGCTAAGGATAGATGCGGATGTATATATAATAACGTAAGCCGGAGATTCGCGGGAAAACACTCCGCGTTATCCCCCAAATACGTTTATCACACGTACGTATATATTCGAAAACGTCTGAGGATTTTGCTACGGATCGTGCGTATCTATGTGCGTTACATTCTCACGTACGCTCGGCGTGGAGTGAAACGTCGCAGAGAATACACACGCCTACATTATACGCATAGCTAAACTATGGCTCGTGTATACGTCAAAGCGCCCTACTGTAGCATCGCGAGTCAAGGCGTGTATATTCAATCATCATCGTGGCTCGCGTACTGTATATATACGCTCGCACGACGTCGGAATACAAAAGTACGTAGTACAGGTGCTTCGCTGCAGCACACGATGTACGTATATAGTTCTACCTATATAAGGATATAGGTACTACTGCACCGCTCGTATAAGCAAGCTGCGCGATTCTAACGACGGCGCGCACACGTACAGATATCTCGGCTGTGTAATGTTATATGCTAATAAGCGCGCGATATCGCGAAGGGCGTAGAGCATACGACATAACGCAAATTTCATCGATAATTCTCTTTTCCCTCTCACTTCTTTCTCCTCTCCTTTTTTGTGCCGTTCGATTTCGCTCGGATCGAGGTGTAATTGCACCGATCGCGCGCACCCGAACGTATGTCTGTGTGTGCATTAAGCTCGAGAGAGAGAGAGGGATTACAAGTACCATTCTGTGGACCAGCCGTGTGCTGGGCGCGCGAAGGCAGTTATCTAAATCGACTAATCGCTAATCCGCTACTAGGAGCTTTTGACTCTGGCTCCCTCGGCGAGTTTCTCGCAAAACACATGGCTGCGTGCTTCCTGCGTTGTATGTTATACCTATATATATGTATTGTCGTTGTGTCGAGCTGAAGCTAAGTAGTTATACAGCCCAGAGTCGGGGATGACTCGTCAGCTCGCTGACGAGTTATATACATAATATATATATAGTTTATAAAGTCAAGTGCTTACTCTGTGCATATGGCAGATGATGCAGTTTTGCTCGTTGACAGCTGTTCAGCTGCTGCTGCTGAAACTGCTTCAACTTTTCACATATATCCCAAAAGGGACGTACGATAAGGTATTCGATAAAGCTCCAAAATTTCAACATCGTCGTCAGAATTCATGCCTCGGTCAAACTTGAAATTTGCTTTACAGCCTCGGATCTGCCCTCAATGATCGAAGTTCGGATGCGATATTATACGATCGAACGAACCATTGAGATCGACGTAAAAGGATTCGTTGAGATTTGACGCGCGCACCTAACTGCATTGCAGGAGACGTCGTCTCCGAGACGACCTGTGACAAAAAACTGCTTGCTGAAAGACCCAAGTGAAAAAAAGTCTACCCGCGGTATACTCAAAGAATACCTCGAGTTAAATTTTTGCCTGTCTACTTGAGGAATACTTTGTGTATACTTGATATAAATAGTTTCCGATGATGTCCTCGCAGTTATAAGGACCATTTGTCAGACATCTGCGTGGCGACGAGCACAAATTCTCTCTTTCTCTTTCTGTTCAAAAAATAGTACTTCATAACAGTCTAACATAAAAACTACAACTTTTCCGGTAGTTACAGGTTCTTGTCCTATAAAATATTACTTGCAACGAATATGATTTTTCAATAGTACTCGATGCAGCACTCGTTTTATAAGCTCGCGCAGCAGAAGTTGTAGCGAATGATTACACTCCAATATTCGGCCGGGTATATTTCTGATGGACCCGATCACGTGTTGATGAACCATGTAGTCTCGACAGTCGACCGTACGTTCGATCATTTGTCGCGCACAATTTTTTTTTTTTTTTTAATAAAATGAAATAAAAAAAAATCTTAACGAGCTTTTTATAATATTTGAATATGAATGAATAACCTATACAGATTTGATGTTTATTTGAGATAAAATAAAAAAGGTGGGAAAAAATTTTTTCACAACCATAAAAAATTAATAGCAGCATAAAATACTTTATTTAGTCATACAAAATTGAAGGATATTTCTTTGAAAGGTAGTCAAGAATTATTTTTTCTCATGTGTGACTGCTAAATCTTCATTAGGTTCAAACACGTGTAAAAAAATCTAACTCTCAAGGAGATTGCTAAAGTTATGTACCGTCGTTATGTGAATTTTAAGTTTACTCTGGTATCCAAATGATTTGTGACAAATTTCACATTCAAACGGTTTGCTTCCGTGGTGTACTACGTTTATGTGAGATTTGAGGTGACTATTCTGACCAAATGATTTATGACAAATATCACATTTAAAAGGTTTGCTTCCTTCATGTACTGTCTCCATGTGCCTTGTAAGTTTATTTTTCTCTCCAAATGATTTTTGGCAAATATCACATTCAAAGGGTTTGCTGCGATTATGTACTGAAAAAATGTGACTTTTGAGTTGACTCTGGTTTCCAAATGATTTTTGACAAATGTTACATTCGAATGATTGACGGCGTTCGTGTACTGAATTTATGTGACTTCTGAGTTTACTCTGGTACCCAAATGATTTGTGACAAATTTTACATTCAAACGGTTTGCTTCCATGGTGTACTACGTTTATGTGAGATTTTAGGTGACTATTCTGACCAAATGATTTGTGACAGAATTCACATTCGAAGGGTTGGCTACGATCATGTACCGTCGTCATGTGCCTCGTAAGTTTATTTTTCTCTCCAAATGATTTGTGACAAATATCACATTCAAAGGGTTTGAATTGATTATGTATTTCCATAGTGTGTTTTTTAAGTTGACTTTGGTTTCCAATTAATTTGTGACAAATGTTACATTCCAACGATTTGATACTATTATGTACTGAATTTATGTGACTTTTGAGTTTACTTTGTTGTCCAAATGATGTGTGACAAATTTCACATTCAAAAGGTTTGTTGCCATTATGCACTACGTTTATATGAGATTTAAGGTGACAACTTTGTCCAAATGATTTCTTACATTTATCACATTCGAAGGGTTGACTACCATCATGTACCGTCGTTATGTGCCTTGAAAGTTTAGTCTTCTCTCCAAATGATTTTTTACAAATATCACATTCAAATGGTTTGAAATTTTCATGTATTTCTTTAGAGTGTTTTTTGAGTTGACTCTGTTTTCCAAATGATTTTTTACAAATATCACATTCAAATGGTTTGAAATTTTCATGTATTTCTTTAGTGTGTTTTTTGAGTTGACTCTGTTTTCCAAATGATTTTTGACAAATGTTACATCCGAAAGATTGATGGCGTTCATGTAATGAACGAACGAACTTGAGTTCATGTAATGACTTGTGATTTTTGAGTTTACTCTTGTACCCAAATGATTTGTGACAAATTTCACATTCAAAAGGTTTGTCACCATTATGTACTACGCTTATATGAGATTTAAGGTGACTACTTTGTCCAAATGATTTATGGCAAATATCACATTCAAAGGGTTTGCTTCCTTCATGTACCGTCTCCATGTGCCTTGTAAGTTTATTTTTCTCTCCAAATGATTTGTGACAAATATCACATTCAAAGGGTTTGAAATTATTATGCATTTCTATAGTATGCGTTTTGAGTTGACTTCGGTTTCCAATTAATTTGTGACAAATATTACATTCGAAGGATTTGATACTATTGTGTGTCTTAATGTGAATTTTCAGAGCTTTTTTTTGTCGATATGAATTGTGACAAATCACACATTCATATAATAGAATGCCCTTATGTACTGTATTGATACGTGTTTTCAGGCTTTCTTCTCCTGTATTCAAAATGTTTACTTTTTTGGACGCGTCAATTTCCAAACGAGAACTTTCTGAAAGGTCACCATCATTTTCAAAATCGAATTCTTTATTCGTTAAAATTAATGGATCTTTATTGTTCAAGCAATTGATTTGAATTTGGTTTTCTAGTTTTTCAATTGGTGGATAACTTTGATATTCCGTTTCACAGATATTTGTTGCCAAATACTGCAGTTCAGGTTTCACACAGTGGGCCTCAAAATCAATGAATATATTTTCCTTTTTGTCATTGGTTTGATATTCTTCTTCTACCATAGCTTCAAAATGTTGACCCTCGCACATGAAGTTAGTTGTCGATACAGACGGTAGTTCAAGTTTAACATCATTGCTCTTAAAATCATTAAATATTTTTTCATTTAATTTTTCATTTGACTCACTCGCCTCATTAGTGTGATGTGCCTAAAATAAAAAGTAGACAATAATTTTTGATAGTGAAAAACATAATTTAAATCATTCAATTTACCGGTGATTTATCATACGGAAATGTTTCACAGTTTTCGATTTTGGAAGAGCCCGCCGAATCGAAATTATAATCGACGCCTGCATCTGCCCAGGTATCGTTCGGTTCTTCCTTAATCCTAAAGGATAATGAAATTTAATGACGCGATCGCTTCAAAAAATATTATTTCGTGCACAAAAATATTATACCAAACTATGTTATCTTGAATTTCCATCACTTTCTTGATAATATATCTTCACTGCGATACAAACTAAGGAAGTAATCAAGGTCAAACGCCTTGAGTTGTCACCACTGTCAATCCGATTTATCTATGATTAGAAAAATTACACTATTAAAATGCTGGTTAGCACAATTAAAAGGATTTTTGGTTGCAACAAGCAATTTAGAAAATTTCGGCGTCTGGAAGCCTGGCGGTCTAACGACATTGTTACAGCAGTATTAGTAGCCCAGGCATTTGAGGTCAGAATGTATTGGTTTTCCCACAAAATTTTAATCTAAACTTCGACTACGGATTTAAGAGTGGTGAACTCGGAAACGGTGTAGTTGTTTCTGGATTTATTTAGACAACAAATTAGTCCAAATAAAAAATCTTTTTCAAAACTTTTAAATTAACTCCAGAACAACTCAATTGGATGACTTTTCACTGACAAGGAGAACACATGACACGAGGATCACCAAATGTCCTGACAATTTTTTGAGGTCTCCTAATACCTAACAATGAAACCCCATATGTTTAGTTTGATCCAATGGGCCTCAAGGCCTATTGATCAGCCTAAGCATATGGAGCTTCATTATTAGGTGCTAGGAGATCACGAAAAAATTTTCAGGACATTTGGTGACCTGCATCTCATGTGGTCTCCTTTGAAGTAAACCTGGAAAACCCTTCGAAATTTTTATTTACAAATTCACCATGTGTACAATTTCTGACTAAGAAACTTCAAATTTTGAAGAAAACTTGTGTATTGCCTTTAAAATGCACGAGCTGAACGAACTGAATTTTATCAGATAAATAGTTTCGGAGACGCAACGTTCAAAGTTTTTTTACAGTTTCAGTCTCTCCTTGCCATGAAGTTTTTTAATATAAATTAATTATTATGAATTATTAATTATTTATAAATTAACGAACGAACTTGAGTTATTAGCGAAAAGTCGTTCATATACTTTGAAACAATGCGCGTTGAAAATGGAGCCAAAGATTGTAACGTAGGGGCTCGTAACACATTTTGGTCGCTTTGTGAAATTTCATTTACCAATTACGCTTAGCTCGTCGTCGAATCGTTTCAAAGGATATGAACGATTTTTAGCTAATAACTTGACCTTTTGAAGTTTATTTATAAAATTAAAATTAAACAACCTTATCATTAAGGACACACTAATAAACAATAATAACTATAAAACAAAAATCGAAACGCTGTATCTCCCAAATTATTTATTCGCCAGAATTCAGTTTTTGCTCACGTATTTCGAAGACAATCGATAAACTTTCTGTAAAATTTGAACTTTCTAAATAAAAAATTAAAGTAAAAAAAAGCAAATTTTTTTTTTGAAATAGAAAATTAGCAGGATTTTCAGGGGAATCCTCTTTATGCAATCGACTTGGTCTGAATCTCATTTTACAGGTTTCGCAAATGTCAACACCTTTATCACTGAAAGTAACAAATACTAACAGATAGTTTTTGATTGAAAATAAAAAAATATAAATAAAACAGGGTCAAGTTTTTTGCATTAATCCGTTGTTTAATCCATTAATGCCTAAAGTAACGAAATTTTTCGTTCGCAATTGATGAGTTGTTTTTCTATTTTTAGACCTTAAAAAGAATTCCCATATACATAATTTTATGTAAAATTCAATGCTCTTTCAAAATCTGGGCTCAAATTAAAGATTTTATGTTTCGTTAAAAAATAATGATTTAACAAAAAAAAAAAAAAACCTAAAAATTTGTGTGAAAAATCGGCTTTGAGAATATTTTTCGAACTGTTACGGTGACAAACTTAAGATATAAATATAATCAGAGGTGATCATAGGTGTGGACGTACCTTAGGGAATTTTCACAGATTTTTACAGCCACGTTTTCTAACAAAATGGTGGCTATACAGTAAACTGTTCATGCACATGATCATGCAAGAAAATGCATGTATGAGTGAGAATGTATAATTTTTTACTCAAAAACCATTGAGTTTAGCGAAAAAGTTTATAAAACAAAAAAGTTTTAGAATTGATCAAGAAACATTCTCAGATTTTTTTAGTATTTTTGAGATGATTTTGGAAAATTGAACTTTACGAATTTCCCGGAAATCGGAAAATTGGGCTCTAAAAATTCTTAAAAAATTTGAATATTCTTTGATCATTTTCAAAAATTTTTTGTTCGATGAACTTTTTGCATAAACTTAATGATTTTCGAGATGAAAATTGAGTTTGGTTTTTTAAAAACATTTTACTTCATGTGCCTCCATTTTATTAGAAAAAGTGGCTATGAAAATCCATGAAAATTCCCTAAGGTAATTCTACATCCACGATCACCTCTGATCATATTTATATCTTGAGTTTTTCACTGCAACAGTTTGAAAAAAAATTCCAAAGTCGATTTTCCGCACAAATTTTTATGCTTTATTTGTTGAAATTTGAGTGTGGATTCTGAACGAGCATTGAATTTTACATAAAATTATGTACATGCAAAGTCTTTTAAAGGTCTAAAACATGGAAAAAAATCGCATCGATCGAAAACGAAATCTGTTGTCACTTTTGTCGATAATGGGTTAAACGAATGCAGGGTCAAATACCTCGTTTCCGAGCTCACCAAAATGCTGAAAATGCCCAGGCTACTGTCCACGCACACTCGCGCGCGCATAACATCCACAAACTCTACAAACACTGGCTGCTTGTTGATGATTGTATCGCATGTACAGCCAGGTTATGTTATTCAATTTATCTGGATATGCTCGTAAATGTGCGAACTGTGTATATGCACGGCGGATTATAAGACGTAAATTTTCTGCAGTGCAATTGAAAAAATGGTTGTGAAAACGGTTTTTTTCTAATGCAACAATCAAATCGTCTTTCGTTTGACTGGCCAGCAATTTTGATTGTGTATGCTCTGTGTACTTTTTCACTGATATTATAGGTGAATACTAGCTCAACGCACTACTGGTTTTATACATACACTCACGTCTGACGTTAATTATCTAAACAGAAATTATCTAAATGTGAAACTTAATCGCGTACGGACGAGTCGAGATCATTGACTATACACGCTCCTTTTCTACTGCGTACACGCACTTACCCTAGTACTGTGAATATTGAATATTGGTCGAGAAGAAATGCGTACGATCAGCTGTATGTACAAGCTACACAGTCGATGAGAAACTAGAAAGTATTATGGGAGACAGCGCGCATGCGCATACACTGAATTTATTTTTGTGTGTAGAACAAGAAATATAGCATGTAGTTACCTGCAATCTTTCTTACATTTTATGAATATACATGAAATTTAAATGGTATTTCAATCAATGTTTATGATCAGCAATAGTCCCACTGAATTATACCGTGACAAAGGTGGAGAAACTGACTGCAATATGAAACGAATCATTTCATTAACAGAGTTCGATTCAATATTACGTCGGGTCAATCCAAGACCCTCCATGAAAATCAGTGTAACAAGAATTAATCCTGATGCTGGTTGTTATTTTGTTTACAACTAAAATAAAGGATGAAAACTTAGCCAACTGAGTGCCAAAAAATATTCCCTCCGAGTGAAAAGATTTTTTTAAACGAATTATCAAAGTTAACTTTTTTTGACTCGCTATAGTAAGTTGGATAATTCAAAAGAATAAAGTCGTGTAAAATTTTTTCCTAAAATTTATAAATATCTCGATATTGAATCATTTACGTTTCAAAAATTTGCAAATGGCCAATTTTAATAATGAAAAATTATATTTAAAACAAGAAATGACATAGCGGCTTCACCAGTGTACTTATAAGATAGCTCCATAAAGTTCTGTTGAGTTTTAAACGATTTAATTATCTTGAAAAATAATAAATAAAATATTGGTATTATACGAAAATTGATTTTTTTATGTTAAATGTTTCTCCATAGACGCCATCTTATATATTATAGTTATATTTAAATAGTTTATAAAGTCAATGATGTTAATCGTTACTCGTTGACAGCTGATGCTGCCGCTGCTGAAATTACTTGAACTTTTTACATTCATCTCAAATGGGACGTTCACGTAAAGTGTGCGATAAAGCTCCAAGACGACGTCGTCGTCATCGTCAGAATTAACGCCTCGGTCAAACTTGAAATTTGCTTTATATCCTCCAATAATCGAAGTTTGGGAACGTTATTTTACGATCGAACGAGCCTTTAAGATCTACTTAAAAGGTTCCGTCGAGATTTGACTGTGATGCAGGAGAGAGTAGGACAAAAACTATTTTATGAGTTATTTATTATATTATACGAGGCACGCGCGTGATCGTACAGCGAATCGAGATCGTAGTTGTTAGCATAAACTGAAAACTGAAAACTTGAAAAATTAATGCTATCGTTTTTTTTTATTTTTAAGTTAAGACCCGTAAGACTGCACGATAATATGAACATAATAAAAATAATTAAAGGTTGTACAAATCGTACAAATTGTACTGTAAAATTAGGTACGAGATTTATTTTCGAACAATAAGTTTTGAGAAAGCACTTATTATTTTTCTTTTACTATACTTTTATTATTTAGCTTCCTCCGCAAGGAAACTCTGATAGAATGTTGTAGAATACATGATAGATTGTTTATATGTATATTATTATGAATTCAATTTCCGACAAATGCCTGTATGTGCGTGGCATTTATGCAGGGTATCATAAAAAAAAGCACATTAAAATCGTATATCGATATATTGCATTGTAATAAACTAAAATTATTCGTCGATCGTGATAAGGATGACGCTCAATATAGTATATTTTGTAACAAGTGCGCGAAGCCGTTGACTCATCCAGGAGTTGTTTTCGAATTTTTGTGGACTATCTCCAAAAAATGTGCCAACGCTGTTTGTTGCCATCTCCACACCATGGGGTGGTTAGCGTGCTCCACAAGCCGCCACCGATAATGACGAGAATTTATTTTATTTTTTTTTTTAATTTTCTGAAAATTTTAATATTTTTGTTTTTTTTGAGTATCGATCATTTACAAATTCTGGTTCCTAGGGTACAATAACGAAAGAACAACAACGTCTTAAAATTAGTCAAAAAATATGAAAAAAATATTTTCAGAATTTTTTGAGAACTTTTTTGAAAATCTATTTCGATTTTTCAACTGCGGCACGTGTTATACATAGCCTTTTGGACTCACGTACGTATTTTTCAACGTCTGGAGCGAAGATCAGTACAACTTGGAAAATAACAACCGATCTAATAAAAAGGTGCTCGTATGTGATTAAAACCACTAGCTCATAGATATTACGTATGATATAAGCGGAGAAATACTCATACAAAAGAGAATACCTGCAAACCCCACACCGATGTAATGCATTCATTTAGTCATTGGAGCTGCAGAAACAACAATGGCAGTTGTATCGATTATTCAACTGTACATTTTATTTATCTGAGAACTTTTTAAAAGTCAATTGTTAAAAATTTTCGAGAAAAAAAATGACTCCTAATAGATTTGAGCGCTTTATAAGCTTATTATGACTGAGAGAAGCAATATTCAAAACATAAGTGAACTCGATGCGGACTTTGATCGCTAAAAAATTCACAGATCTTTCTTACAATGTTAAATAAAATCCTTTTCTACTAATAGACAAGTTGTTTGAGATGGAAATGGAAAAAAGAACGGACACATGTACTAGCATTTTTATTCATAAAAATAAGGAATAATCAAATTTTCAGGAGGAAGCCGACTTATTTGCTGCGGGATTTTTCTTGAGGAGACGACTCGACTTTACGATCTGGTATATACGAGGCTTTGCGTACTTAATGCGAAGAGCGAAGAGATAAACGTCTGAAATACTTAGTCTTCGGGATAACGGATTGCTCGAGCTGTAGTGAAAATTTGCAGCCCGAATACATTAACAACTTTGCCAATGCCGGATGCATATAGATGCATATACAAATACGTATCGAGAACGAGTATGAGGAAGGTAAGCATCGATACCGAGTTGTACGTGGCGGTAATTAGAAGCGAGGTCGATAAAAACTCATGTGAATGCGGATTCGGAAAGAGCAAAAGTACATCGTATTGTGTGCGCTTGTGCGGAAGAGCTGCCGAGTCAAGTGAATTTCACGAAATATACCATATACAGCTATACAGTACCGCCAACGAACTATATACAATACTTTTCTAGCCGTACTCGGCGAGCATGTAGACGGATAAATTCACTTATATAAATTCGCTCGCGGTTCGGTACTGACTCGTGAGTAGGCGACTTGGATTTTCGCTCACCGATCTATAAATGTATATGAATGTTTCTGACTAACTTTTAAAATTGCACGTACTGATGTGTAAGTCAGGTAATTTACCATGCACAGTTCTGAAATTTTATCAGGGTCTTTAAGAAGACTTGAGAGATCTACACTTTTATTTTTGAGCGTTTTGGTGGCCCGTCCTTTTTGTATCGCACGTTTGAAAATCGATTTTACTCTTGAGTCAAAAAACGTACTGCGAATAAAATAAATTTTCGATAGCTTCTTAAAAAATGGACTATTAACCAAATGATCTGAAATTATCATGTTACCTTCCTTTATTCACATACTTTAGAAAAATTTGTGACCTGAACTTGATCCTCCTAAATTGGAAATTTCCCAGAATGTTTTCCGCGCGTACTGGATTATTTGAACTTTTAGCTTTTTTTATACATTTTCATTTTTTACAATGGACTATTGTTTTTTTTTATATCTGTATACATGTTTAAAAAGGGCTGGAAAAGACGAACAAAATGAGCCCAACCAGAACTCTGTCCCTTATTTAATAAGAATTGTACGCTGGATTGAACATTCGATAATCCTGCGTTAATCACTTAAAAATTTTTGAAAAAAATTTTTTTTTCATGAAATTTTTTTCTACTATGAATAAATTAATTAATTTATAAAAAAAATTTTTTTCATGGGAAATTTATAAACAATTTTTATAAAAAATTTTTTTTTTCATGAAAAATTTTTATAAATATATTTTTTTTCATGAAAAATTTTTTTCTTATCATGAATAAATAAATTATTCAACAAATAATTTTTTTTCACACACTTTCTTTTTTTATTTAAAAAATTTTGCTATATCATCAAGGGCAAGGCCGTAAAAAAAAAATTTTACATTTAATTCATTTATAATGACTACGCAATTCGCCTACGTAGATAATTATGTGCGGGATGATATAAGTAATGTCACATGAAAACACATGAAAGAAAAAGGGGTTTTTTCGCTTCAAAAAGTGCATAAGGAAACTTGAAAAAATCCAAAGAAATTTAAGGTCATGTTTTTCAATGCATAAAACAGAGAAAAAAATTTTCGAGTTTGATATTGGCTCGTATCGCCGTATATAAATTTTCCAAATTTTTAATTATTTTATCTGAAGGCCTGAAGCCCTCGAAAAATCTGAAGAAATTCAAGGTGCTTAGTTTTGTTGATATGTACTATTATGAATTTTTTCAGATTTTTTAATTACTTCAGGGCTTCAGAATGAATATAAATAAAGAATGGACGTTTATAGGGGTGGAGGGGGTAGGAGGGGGGGATGGGGAGTAAAATTTTGGCTTTAGGATTTTTTTACCATGTACTATAACATATCAAAAGCGCATCTAGATCGGTGTCATTCGAAAATTTGAAGAAGTTTTATTTTGACCCACATTTAAATCGGGTTTCCCAAATGGATTATGGAGGAAAATAAAGCCCAAAGTTATTTTTGGGATTCTTTGTTGATAATATTCAAGAAAAATTCATTCCGGATACTGTGCCGCTAAATTTTTCATCAAAAATTTTTTTAGGCGTTATTTTAAAAGTTAGTCAGAATCACTCATATATCACATAATTCTATACGTCATCGTTATATATACAGCTATCCCGGCGGTTGCCTCGTGTCCTTTCGGCACCGCATCACATCTATCTATATGATATAATGCACATATAGATGCCCACTGCAGCCTCTTCAATTCGAATCAATAACTCCAAATGAACGGATCATCGATCTGATTTCAGAAGTCGCACACTGTCAGCAACAGCAGCAGCAGCAGATTTGGGCGTGTTACCGTATAATAACAATAAAGTGTCGATTTATCGGAAATTCCG